TGAAATTTTCTGTCCACTTATTTCACATTCGTTAAAACCCACATTAATTTTTAATTTTTAGATATATTCTCCGCATAACGCGCATCCCCTTTTTTTACGAAGAAATCCGAAAGGTACGTGTGCAATGCTCTATGTTCTGAAGTCATTTAATCGAGATATTATCCCAGGCTTTTGAAAAAATAGCGTACTTCTAGAACAACAAATCTTTTTACGTTCCTAAGAAATGTCATTTCTTTTAATAAACAATATTTTGATCTGTGTAGAAGTCTAGTTTTCTTTTATTATTATCCACATCTATTTTTTGTATTTTTGAAGTTATCATTTTTATACCAAACGAATAACGTGCACCCGTAAATTTAGATCTAGTTTATTGCGTCAAATATCGAGTTATACGACGGATTTCACGATGCTTCTTTTGACAACCCACAAAAATAGTAAAGAAATGAGACGATTGAGAATTTTGTTCCAAAGCATGTCATTTTCCATTTTCAAATATGTTAATTTCCAAATAATTTATAAGTATGAAAAACTGTTGTTCGCACACTTTTTCCCTTTTAAGACCACAGGCGTTAAAAATTCATAGAATAACACTACACATAGGAACTTTATTTTGGAGAAATTTTACCAATTTTATATGAAAGGAAACGTAATTTCACTGAAGAACAGTTTAATGAACGCATTAAAGGGCATAGGTATCTATATAGTAACATTTACTTCTTTTTAAGAAGGCCACTCACAAGTACTCAATCACTCATCCAAGTCGATGGCGAATGAATAGGAATTCATAACCAACAGGCCTTCTCAACATCTAAAAAGCACGTAAATTTATCTCATCTGCTAACACGTGTTCAACTATTTTGTAAGAACCGTTACCAACTCACTTCCCCAGCTGTTCATTCCTCAACCCGATTTCGGCCTGGATGATCTCAGCCGGTGGCTATTAAGCGCACTTTGTTTACACAGAATCGAATCCCGTGATTACTCCACTTATCAGAGTGACTAAGAGTCTTCGGATTAATAACACTTCGCTTTACAGTTTCCAGAGATGATGAGAGCATTAAACGATCCCAGGAGCGTTCCTCCGCAGTTGACCATTAATCAACCCATTTGCTCTTTCCGAAAGGCGTA